GGGGGGGGGGGGTCTTCGACCTGAAAAATCAGGGGTTAGGATTTGCACCCGGTCGAAAGAAACCTTGCTATCGCAAGAGTAACTCCAGCTAGCTTCGCTAGCTTTCGTGATAATCCATCTTTAATTTTACCTGCAGTATTACATGCACACACCAGCCCCTTCGCGCTTTGATCGTCCACGGCGACACTTGTTTCCCCATCGTCCGAGACTCGTTCTTTCCCTCTCCTGGTAGAGCTGGATCTCTTGAGGCACTTGGAAACATCGAATCAGCTCCTTCTTCCCCCAACGCTGGTAGCTGCCACGGCAACACTTGTTGAAGCCGGTGATGTAGGAGGGACCCTGGTAGTCCGTGCGCAAGACCGTCATGTAGCCTCCAAAGGGTGCCAACGAGGAGCTGTTAGAAGCTCTTTTTGGAGGGTGGCTATGAGATTGGTCTTGCCTGGAAGCGACACGGATTTAGTGGTGATCTGCAACCGCCCCCAAATATAATACAAATGAGACGATGACTCCTCTGGCCAACTTCAGAACACCGAGCTGTCTTCACATGCAGCTTGATCATTGGGGACTAATTGAAAAAGCAACTCCCTCCCTCGTACTGCATGGGGCATCTTGCAAAGAGCGAAACCGACATGTAGATGGAAGATTTACATACTGCAATCTCCACACATGCTTATCACTTCGCCTCCCCATCTGTCTCTATAGGAGTTAACCTAGTAGCGATGGCCTCCATCCTAGCGATGGCCTCCATCACTGCCTCCATCCTAATAGCGATGGCTTATACAACCTGTTGGGACACAGTAGTGGTCACAGTAGTGGTCTCTGCTAGTCTGTGTCAGCGCCGACAACTCTTCGCAGCCGGACCTTCAGTCTTGTACTCGATGCCCTCTCCTCGAGAAAGGGTGGCTACTTTCCTTCTTGAAGGGAAGCTCCAAAATATTCCAAAGTCCAAGGCATGAATCTTCACGGCACATGCATTCCCCAAAGAAGGCTAACCAAATCAAAGTCTCCAAAGTTGCGCTTTTACAAATCCCTGATCAAGATACAGCCGGATCGTGAAGCAATCTATCCTCATGATGCAGCATGATGACTCAATATATGCAATTGGCAAGTCACTTCCGAACCGCCTGGTCAAGCAATCCCAGGAATTTTGGGTTAATCCACTCACTCCAGCGGTATGTTGTGGGGGTGGTGAAGGCACGGTTCTTCCATCAACCACTTGCTTTTGAAAGCTTGGACCCGCACTCTGCAGGCACTCCGCGCACACCCCGGCACCGGAGCTCTGTTCGTCCTCCTTGGTCGTGGGTGTAGAGGTAAGCCTTGACTTCATGCTTTCCCTCCCCATCGCAGGCCAGACAGCTGGACTGCTTGCCCTTGGTCAAGTAGATCAGGCCCACGAACGGAGCACAAACCTCAGCTGCCAAGTAGCCCCCCAGCGAGCCCCCCGGCCAACGAGCGGATCCAGGGACGTTGAACGGTGCGAACGAAACACAAATACAAAGCATGTTGAAATCGAGAACATCCTTGTGACACTTGGCTCGGTGGCCACGAATCCAAGCTGGTGCTCTCTCTCTCTCGATTCTCGTTGTAACTGTCCATCGAGACAAGCCGTCTGGAAGCTGGACTGACACGAACAATCCTGTTCCCGTCCTTCCCTTCACACGGGCAGTTGTGGGTCAAGGCTTCGACCAAAAAACACCAAAAAATCACTGTGGTGGGTTGCTCATGTCACAGAGGGCAAGTGGTTGGCTTATGGTCTACTCGTGTCCATCGCCCATCTCTAGTGTGGCTTCCGGCTGCGGAAGGTCCATCGCTTCAGGCAGCCTCCTCCCCTAGTGGCTTCCTGTCACGAGTAGTATATAAGAATGCTCCTTTGTTCCTAGTAGCTTCTTGCTCCGTTCGTAGCGATGCCAGGAGACCCTAGTAATTAGCGTCCGATCGCTCCTCCCCCGAGCTTGGGGCCTAGGAGCGACGTCGGCCAGAACGCCTAAGAACGCCATGAAGATGAGGCCAATGCCACAGGGGAGCAAGGGGTAGCGCCGGCCACAGTACCTCGGGATCTCGGGCACCGGCCGACGAGTTCGCCTGCCTAAGGCCAAGTGACGAACATCTCGCAGCTTTTGAGCAATGAAAAGCACATATTACATCCCAAATGGGTCGAAATCACGCTGCAATCATAGGCAATAGATGTTTCTTTTGGTCGGTCTGGAAGTGAATGACCATAAAAGGTCTTTCAATCGAACATATGCCTCATCGATGAATACACCACATCTACAAACCTCATCAAGGTGGAACAGCTGCGCCGGCCCCCTGCACGGATCTTCTCATCATTGCGCAACGAGCTGCCAAAACCACGTACCCCACTGCCAGTCAAAGAAGTAGAGCGGACCCCTCCCGTCAAAGTGGATATAGGCTTGAACCCATTTCTGGGCGCCAGGCGTCACCTGCTCCTCCATCGGTGCAACGACTTTGACACGCTGACTTTAGGAGGCTTGAGATTCTTACACTCCAGGAGCATTCATTCAGCAAGCCATATCATGGCATTGCAAACCTGTGACAGGTGCAAGTATACGTAATATCATCCCATTTAATGGCTGCAGAAGGGGCTCGCGAAGAGGACCAGAGTGTGCGGTCATATCTACAGTAAGTGTTTTGATTGGTGCTCACACTGGCGCTTGCCAGCCATCTTTACTGATTTGCGGGTCACAACCGGTTAGTGTGGATGAATCAATCCAGAATTGCTCATCAACGGTATCAGCAACACATCCACATTGGCTTGACCCTGACCCGGTCAAACGTCTGTTTTCTGGATTCCCTAGATGCCCTGGATCCGAAATGAAGAGTACCAGGACCATCCTGTCTGGGTGTCCTGGCTGGACTACCCTACACTACTTAGGGATCTCCAGCCACACCCAAAAACAGGGTGGTCCAGGCAAATGATGGAGAATGATGGTTCATGGAGGGTCCAAAAACCCGACCTCACCCAACATCGTCGTCTTTCACCAGCCTCACTCTTCTCATTCTCTCTGCGGGAAGGCGCCTGGCTCCATGCGACGGGCGTAGAAAACAAGAAAAAAAACAAAACTTGAACAACTCCTCTAAGCCTCTAAGCAACGCACAGCCAACAGGGGCGGGTACTGCAATCGTTCCTGTCCTTCTGACCCTAACCCTATGCTCTTCATGTCGCTTGGGCTCGATCTCACGAGCGCACCTCGAGCGACGGCTGCGCCACACAGGCGGCCAGAGCTTTGAGTTCCTCTGCGCGCGTGCTGAGCTTCGGCTCCAGGGATCGAGGCGTCACGTAGCTGCGAGCCAGTTGCAGGAAGCCTCCCAGTGGGTCAGACAGCGGGGGTTCGGTCGTGTTGGGTGCATGGAACACATGGGCAGGTCAGTTGACTGACCTGCGACCGGGCCGGCCGCCGACCGGGTGGAGCAACCAGGAGGGACGAAGCTACTTTGTTGATCGGTGGTGGTTCAAAAAGGATCAAAAAGGTGTTTCAGTCCCAGACACTCCATGTATGGCATATATGCCTACATTGGGGTAGTTTTGGGGGTCAATGTAGGCATATATGGCATACATGGAGTATCTGGGAGTGGTTTCTTAGCATTGGTCGCACTCCGAGACGTCCAGTTGGGCCTCTCAGTCAGCAAGCGGTCTGCCGTGCATGAAGCACGAACTGCCGGGTCACTCGGTGTCACTGGGTCCGGAGGCATCAACGACCATCTCCCCAAGCACTGTGACATACTTTTCACGCCCTGAAAATGCAGTGAACAGGCTCCATCTGGGTGTGTATCTTCTTTTAAGGGAGACCTCCAACCCATCACTGACTGGTCTGCGAAATCCCTCTTCCGGGGGGATGAATTTTGGGAGGTCTCCCTATTTGAGCTAAGCTCACCCATCTTGCTCACATCTCCAAGAAGCTGGTGGCATCTCCCTTCAGCAGCAACTTCAAGGCCTAGCCAGCTCAACGTGTTCGACTGGAACCGGTTCATGAACCGACGAACCGACAAGTGGACCGCTGCCTATTCCCTAAGCTTCCCTGGTTGTACTAAAGAAAATTGATATTACAACATCAGGTCAGCCATTGTTTAACAAACGGTCTAGGAAGCCTTGTGTCTTTCGATAAGTGCACTACTATGCACTACTGAACTGAAGCAAAGTCCTCATGCAAACCATCGGACCCAAACATCGTCTCATCGCATGGTGCGCAACGCATGGTATCGCTTCGGCACTTGGTGGCCGGCATCTGTCAACAAGGACGATGCACACAAGGGCGATGCTCTGTGGCAGGCCCAAAAGCTGTCGCATCACTTTGGCTGAACAAGAGCTACCATGGAAGTTCATGGAACTATATGGAACTTCTGATTGCAAATATCCTCCCATAGTAATGCCAATGCAAGGAAAAGCAAGGAAGTAAAACCCATGCTATGGTGTTCGGGGCGTTCCCCGCGGTCTCAAGTTTTGTCCAACATCACCATGCCTGCAAATGACTTTCTTTTAGGTCCTCGGCGAGGTCATGCGAGGCGTCGGGGGTGGATGAGCGGTCGCTGGGGAAGGTGTTGAATCAAAAGGAAAGTAATGGCAGCCGGCCAAACAATCCCAACAAATCGACCACTCGGACTCCAGGTCTCCATTGTTGCTACGAAATTCGAATAAATTTGACCTATCTTCCATGAGCTTCCCCAGAAATCCCGGAAGATTGTGGAGTGATGATGATGATGATCTCCAGGAGTGATGGATGATCCTGAGATCATACGCCATCGAAGATTAAAGTGGAAACTGAAAGCCACTGGTTTGTAGACGAAAATGGTCTTCCCATGATTCCATGTGAACGTTGCCGGGTGTAGTCCAAGTCTCTGAGTCTCCAGGAGTGATGATCTCCAGTGCCAGCTGCTGAGTGGACACCGAAGGTCCCAGCAGCACATCGGTGATCAGATCATCCGATGTCGGTGTCCCGGCGTCCGGCTTCGGGAAGACTTGATAACGGAGCAGGAGTCGATCTTCTCCGGTCTTCCAGCCGCAAAGCCAGCGAAATGGAAAGGAGATGAGGTCGAAAAGGAAGAACAGGATCACCGCATGGAGGAACATCCAGCATTGAGACCTGCAAGGTGAGCTCCCAAGGGAAGCGAGAAAGGCAGTCTCCCAAAGGAAGCGAGAAAGGCAGTCTCCCAAATGAAGAAAATTGACATGGCGACGTCCACGGAGACATCTCACATTTGGATTGGTTGGGATTTGGGGGTGTTGTCATGCCATACCATGGGTGCGGATGGGTGGGCCTCGACTGAAACATCTCAGTGATCCTTCGTCACACTTTGTCTGACAGGGTCAAGCCTTTTGCTTCAGTTGCCATAGCTCGCACTTGAATTTCTCAGTTTTCAATCGTTTCCAGAATTTCTGCCTTCTCTTCTTTTCCATCCCATTTTTATTCTGATTTCTTAAGGAGTCTGTGTGACGAGATCTGCTCACCACACCTGACCTTCACCAAACCCCCCGAGGAAAAAACAACAATCTCCGCCTTCCAGGACTCCGCCCCCTAAGAACTTTCTCCAAGGCGCGCGTGGCGGTGCAGCTGCCCAAGGAGCAGGAAGACAGGTGTTCTTCTGGATTCATTGACCTGGCGTCACTCCCCATGAGCCGACCACGGCGGTACAGTACCGGGCCTTCTTTTTGGATGACTTCGGTGATCGAGTTGAGTCAGAAGTGGCCCATTCCATGGGGAAACGCATCCCTCAACCGAAGATAAACTAGCAAAGTGGTTTGGGAATTCTCGGGAAAAACGCTCCGAGTTCCCGCTTTTTACAGGGACCTATTGGAACCCCTTGGGGCTCCGAATTGCTCACCAGCTGCCACCTCCGGGCGCCAAAAGAAAGACCTGGGGCCTTTGGCACCGAAATCTGAGCGAATGGTTTGGACATGGCGGCTGCCAGAGTGAGATTTCCGGGTTTGTCCGGAAAAGGCAAGTGACATTTATAGTCATTTACATTTATCAATTTATCACATCAACGCCAATTCACGGCTCAACTGTGGTTCCATGGGCTTTCCCTCCACCCTGGGTTCACGGCAGGGCACAATACGCAGCAAAGCCAAATCGCTCACTTGGAGAGGGCCAATGTCAGCGACTGCCATTTCTGGCGCCGCTTGCACTTGCGCCATCCTCAGCATTCGGCAATTGATTGCCCCAGCGATTGCGATTTCTGAGAGACATTTAATTTTTGGGGTGAGGTCCCAAAAGAAGAATGAGATCGAGATAGATTAAATAGATCGAGTGATCCCAAGGGATGCTTAAACCGAATCCTTTGAAGATCCGGAGGCCCGGAGGCCCTCCTTCGCTGCGCCGGCCGGCGGAGCGAGTCGCGGCATGTCATCCAAACAGTCTACTGCCTCTTTGGTGACTCACCGAGGAGCAATCCGAAAATGCCTAGAACAGGAATCAAATGCACACTTTTTGGAGATGAGATGAGTTAGTCAGTGCTAATATATATATATATATAAATAGAGTATAATATATAGTTATAATATATCATTATATATATATATGTATGTGATTAACATTAATGAAGTATAGTCTCCCACAGTTGTGTGAAGTTGGTTGCATGTTTAGGAGTTTAGGCGTGCCTTTGGTGAATTCTCATCTTGTCACTGCTCCAGGTCCCCAGTCTCAAGCACTTCAGCCTCCACCGTCGCCCAAACCCCTGACCGGACCGAGGGACGAGTCCACCCTCCGATCTGCAGCCGAGATGGCCAACGGCGGGTCCAGAACAGCCAACGAAACACCGTTTCGAAGCGCGTTTCCCCGCTTCCCCGAACAGGAGGAATTTCGGATGAAACATGGATGAACCGGAGGCCATGTTTTTTTTCCTAGGATGCATCTTTCCAGGACCAACTGAGTTACTCAGTTCTGAGTTCTTGAGCGACGATGTCCGAATGTCTATGGAGTCCTTGCTATGAAACACCTCCAGATGAATGGGAGTTGGTCATAGTTGGTCCATGTTTCAATCAAACATCCCAATCCGGTTGCTGATCCATCCAACCAATCAACGCCCCTTAATGTCCTTTTTGGACTTGAGGCATCTGAGGGAGACCAGGTGTAGAAGCCCCACTCTGCCGAAGCCCACGATCAAGCACCCCCCAAAGCGATGCCCCTGAAGTGGAAATCCATGGAAGTGGTCGTCCAATTCCAAGATTTTATTGCAGGGTACACTCCGACTCACTAACATGGGAAAACCCCCTGTTCGTAAGGAAAGTAGTCTTCCAAGGGATCGATCACCCCTCGGCTCCACCGTCCATCGGCTCCACCACCGGCTCCTCCTCACTCAGCCGCAGCCCGAAAGGAGCATTGGACTCCTGCCAACGCTTTTGAAGGCATGGATGGGAAGCGGAAAAACCACCTGTTTAGAGAGGAAAACCGGTCATGCCAGGACCATGTTCCACTTGATTCTTTCTTACAGAGTGTAGTTTCAAGTTTCAAGGCTTTCGGGTTGAGTAAGTAAGTCCAAACACAGCACCCAACACATCTGAAACCTGACACAGAAAAAAAAACACCTCGAGGAGCCTAGGGGCCTGCTGGTGTGGAAAAACATCTGAAACAGCACCGGGACATGTATGGACATCTAGGGGCCCTGGGCAGGGGGGAACATCATCTGCACACAAAGGCTGTTGGGGCCCCGGGATGTGTTATCCTGCAACGTCGAAAGAGAAATGAACACAGGGGTGACGGCATGGGAAGGGGTAGGGTGCGGGTGGTTGTTTGATAACTTTAAATTTGCTGTGCCTGCTTGTCCTTGGCCTATGTGCTCAGTGCTGCTAGCCTGGTTCTTTCCACTTTCCCACTCCGCCTGCACCAATGAAGTGTTAGCCTCTGCGTCTACCAATGGTCCGAAAATTTGTGTACCAACAAACCAAAGGACTCTTGGCGCGCTTCTACCACAGGCTGTTTAAGTTTTTCGAGGCTGCGAGTTACACTACCAAATCAGGCCAGACAATGACATGTGAGTGAACCAAGGCTGGGCAACAGGGGTTTTTACTGCTGTTTTTCCTGCCGTTTGCCAGCGCCCGCCAAATATGCCGCCCCGGCTCCAGTCGCTGCAGTGACTTGCTCTTGGGGATGCAAACGTAGCCTGGGTGACTTTCTGACGCTCAAAGGATGATGAACGCAAGTTGTCGAAAGGTGGGTCAAAACAGTTCAAGAAACACCTAAACACCTTCAACATGGACGAAGATTCTTCAACGACGATGGAATTTTAAGGGTAGTCCCACAGCGTTCGACCAAAAGCTCATTTCATTTCCATCCATTTCCACTTCAACACCATTTTGGTGTCGAACCTTGAAGGCGAATGTGATGTGGATGACGTAAAAAGCTCAAACACATCTCCCCGTGAATGATGTTTGGGATTCCTTGCGCGTTCCAAAGGGTGGCAAGCACCCTACTCTATTAGGGTACCCAACAGTGTTATTTTGACCCCAACAGGTGGTTTCTGGGCACCTGTTGTCACCAACATCTGTTGGCCAAGCCGTGTCCAGGTCCAAAAGCAGCCGCGTTTAGCGGCCTTCGCCGTTCGCTCACAAACATTGAACTGCCCACGAGAGAAATCCCCTTCTTCTTGGTGCAACTCAAGGTTAAGCATAAGTTCATACAGAAGATTGCACTCTGCTGCACCCTGTGTAGCAGCCTGTGCCATGGCACCCTGCTGCAGGCACCACCGAATCGCCACCTCTGCTGCGGTCCGCTGCTTCAGCTCCGCCAGCTCAATGAGCGCCGGTGCCAGCGGTGCTGCACGCGAGCCGCGCTCACTGCGCGCCAGCTGCCCGCGTGCCAGGGGTGTCGCGGCCATGAGGGCAATGTGGTGCTGGCGGCAGAAGTGGGATAGATCACGCCTCAGGCTTGGTGGGAGACTCTTTGGAAAAATGAGACAGGGAAAGATAGGGAAAGTGGTGACTCTGGAAAGTGGTGAAGTGGTGAAGGGGGCCAAAAGGAACCATCCAAACTATATCATTATCAAACGATCTATGAAAGACCAGAATCTCAGCCTTTTCAGATCATTTCACGTTGGCATCCAGATCAGAGGGCGGGGGGTTTGACCAACTCTTGGGATCTTGGGACTTGCCGTTGGCCCGGCTTGGTACACGTGGCTGACCAGTCTGATCCTGTTCGAAGAGATCCGGGAGAAAAGAACACACCCCCTCTGAATCAGTTCTTCTGATGCTGGACCTACAGGAGCTGCTGGGAAACGAGGCCCCAAGCCCCGAAGCACTGCGCCGAACACGGTGCACCGCCGAGGCTCTGCTGATTGGCCAAGTGCAGCTCCACTTGGAGGACCTCTTCGGTTCGGAGCAGCATGACATGTCGAGGTGTCAGTTGGTCTCCAACAACTGAAGGTGAGGACATGCACCGGATCTACGCCTCCTAGAGCTCCTAGAGCTCCGGCGATGTGTTTTCCTTTCGAGCGCGACTTCCGTGCTCCGTGCTCCACGTGGCTCCACCGTCGGTCGGTCCGGTCGCACGGGGTGGACTTGAGACATCTGGACCGAACACAGGGCATGAAACAACTGCCGGATGACCCATCGGTCATGAGTCATAGGGGTCTGATATGATGATGTAGTGGAACATCTGGAAGCACAGAAACAAATGATTGTTCCAACATGTTCCAACATGGCTTGCTTGAGATCCTTACATGACAAGCGGTTGGGACCAGGGAAACATCCATTCCCAAACCATTCATGCATGGAATAGTATGAAATATACCTTAATGTCACTCACATTGATTCGACTTGGGAGTCCTTCCCGGCCTCGCCTCGGGCATCTCGCGGCCAGTTCGCGCCAGGGCCGCCAGGTGTTCCGTGCTGAAGTTGCACACGCCCACGGCTTTCGCCAAGCCCCTCACGTGGACGCATGGTTCATCAACCCCCCCCAATTTCCAGGTAGCGAAACCTATCTAATTATATGAGGGGGCGTGATTCATCAGGTGGAAGAGGGGCCAGGTGACAGCGACAGGAGCGGGTTCCAATCCGTCTTCCACGTCTGTCCGCCGCCCGGGTAACCCGTCTGTCCGCTCCTGGTGCGCAGCTGGAGCATGGCGTCCCAAGTCCAAAGCACGCTGCCGCCCCTGGGGCTCTGGATCAAGTACAAATCCTTGGGCGATGAACTGAGGATGGTCTGCCGGGCGACCAAACAGCCCCTGTACAGCTCTAGGAGGCCCTGTCAAAGCCGCGGTGGGCGAGGTCAAGAGCTGACAACCTGGCATCAATTGCCCTCGGAACCACTTTTGAACATGACATTGACCGAACTCCTCAATCGTCAATCATTTTTGGTTCCAACCTCTGGAAGGCCATCTCTTTTTCCGGGGTGGACATCGGGAGATGCACAAAAACGAGTCTCAAGAAGACCTGATCGCTTTGAAAAACCTAAAGCTGGGCATGAAGCTCTTGGGAGCACACCTACAGTCTATATACTACTTCTAGTTCCACTAGCTTGGAGATGCATCAGCATACGAAAGCCTTCTCCAACTTCCATGCAACTCCCTGGTCACCCATTGGTCACTTGCTGCGATGCGAAACAAACCATGTCGTGCTGCCCGAGAGTCCACGAAGGAGGTTCCAAGGCGCTGCAACGAGGCATGCAAAACCTCTTCCAATTCATCGCCATGCCTTGGTCCCAAAAGACCCGGGGACGTGTCCAGTGTGTGACGCGAGGTCCAAACGACGCGACTTCATTAAGCGGTGAGATCTTGTCTTCAAGAGGGAAGTGACGGTTTGTACCACACACGTCCAGCATGGTATCCATGGGTATCCCCCTCTTTACTGATCAACCAAAAGGAGCACTCGGAGTTGTCATTCGTTGTGTCTCCGTCTGCTTTCTTCAAGTTAGGACCATTTTCCTCCCCAATCGAGACCCAGTCCCGTCCTTTGTGCTCCTTTGGGCCGTGATGCTCGCTGGGCGGAAGCTTGGTGGTCAGAAAGACCTCCGGAACCCGGTCGACCCGGTCGACCCGGTCGGGTGTCCGGGCGTGTGGGCTCCCCGAACTTTGAGAGCTTTCGCCACAATGTCCGAAATCTCAACCCACAGGCTGACGCACCCTGAAGTTTAAACCTGAACCCTGTGCGCCAGTGGGAGGTCCAAGAATAAAGCCTTCCTCCAAAGGACCCTGTCGGGCAGCCCCTGGCTCCCAAACAAGGAAGATCATCAATTCGCAGGACCAACAGGCTTGCCTGCAGAATCTGTCTTGCATGTTTCGCCTTGGGGGCTCACCAACGCGAACGCATGTCCTGAGCACTCCGCATCTTCTCTCTTCAATCCAGCTGCTCGGATTCCATTGGCAATCTCCTGGTGAAGCGAGCGGAGCGGTCGCCAGCGGTCACAGCGAGTCCCTGAAAGCACCGGAACGGGCTGGGCCTGTAGCTGGGCGCTGGCTGGGGCATGGTCTTGGCAGGCCGCTCGAGCCATCCCTGCAAAAGACCCCTAACAGTGTGTCTAGCGAGAGGTGTGAAGTGAAGCAGAAGGTCTAACTGCAGAGCTCTAGAGGTGGAGAGGGATAGATCTAGGGCTGGAGGTCTAGAGAGCACACATATGAGAGCACATTTGCTGCGCTCCCACGAACTCTGCACTTCACGGTTCACAAAGGTTCAAATCTGCACTTGTAAAATGTATGTTGTCCACGACATTTTTTTCTCCTAGGGGTCTTTGAACGCAATACATATACTGCAGTATGGTGTACGCTCCATGTCAATTTCGCTCTATGCATTCTACCAATTTTGACTTGCTCCTTTTGAATGATCACTTGAGGCGACCTGCTTTGGAGATCCCTGGAAGAGCGATTGCCATTAACAAGCAAGTTCTACCCTGTCAGAATTCCTCCAAGAACCTGCAAAAACGGTGGCCTTATCGATGGCAAAAGCTGTTGTCTTACCCATTGCCAGTCCAGTATTCAGAAATTGCATCCAAAACACCTCTCAGCTCGTTCCTGGATTTGTTTTGCAGAACCTTTCCCTTTAGATTCCCAATTCGGGCGAGGCATGAATGTATGGATTTCAGCCAGCAGAACCTGCAAACCCACATGGTACCAATGTATTCACGTCAACTGCAACTGATCTACGCGGCCATAAGCAGCTGCATGACAGCTCGATCATGGCTATTTGATCAATGTCTGTTCACTTAGCTCCAACCCTCCCATGGAAGTAAACGCCTTTTCGCTTGCACAGGAACTTTTCAGATTTCAATCGTTGGTCAAACTTGCAGGTGAACACCGCTGTTTCACCATGTTTCACCTAATTCTCCGAGCTCCAGAAGCCACCAGGAATGCGATGCCCCACCGGACCTCCTCATTTTCGAAGCCCGGGGCGGTGTCGATGAGCCGATACCCGCACCGAAGGGCCGCGCGGACCGCCTGGACACCGTGTGTGACGCGTGTGACGCGTCTGGCCCGAGGGCTTCCGTGGGTCCGCAACAAATGCAAACATCACGTATCTTTTGCGTCATTCTGTCATAGTTGGGAGGATTCACTCCAAATCACACCTTTCTTATATACCCTTTTCTTAGACAAAAGTCCCAGGACTCAAATTTCATCAAATCACCCAAATCCATCCCACCACTTCAAAGCTTCACTATGCTTCACTGCCAGTGCCTAGATTAAAGACTTGTGGTCCAAGAGTCATGGTGTGCGAAAAACCGTGCTCGATCTCCCGCAACGCTTCGCACACGACATACCCCTTGAGCTACGGGGGTGGGTATCGGAGGGTATATCATGGAGTGGGTGGAGGATGGAGGAACCTCCTGAGGTCCTGCCATTCTCTGAGAGAAGACTTTGGAATCCTGCACTGGCCGTTGTTTGGGTCGCGCCATGGAGGGGCGACCAAAGTCGGTTTCCACCTGTTTGGACTGCCACGTCCTGTTGAACCGTGTCTCACCGATGTTCCAAGAAACACATCTATGAGTCATAAATGAGCGTCTGCCACTTCGCCACATCGGTCGTGCTTCCACCAATCGCCACATCCGCCTCCCGACACTCAGGACCTTTCAGTTGGCGCGTGCCAAGGCCCAACATGGGCATCCTGCCGAGGTAGGCGAGTGCCAAGGCCGCAGGACAAAACATGACACGACCCACGTTATTTTTCTTATGCATGATTTACCACTTAAGTCTATATATATATACAAATGCAAAACACCCCCACACGGTGCCCTAGCAGCTCTAGGCCTCAAACCGGATCGAAGTTCCACGCAGCTCTCGAAGTTCAAGGCCCTGGACGCGAAGTCAAATCCACTGAACTGCTGGGACTTTGTGTCCCGAGATCTTGGGCACCTCTTTGGGGCTCCAACATGAAGGGAGCCCAACATGCGCCTTGGAACACACGGATCCCGGACATGCAACCATCCAATATGAGCATCCTTGATCATTCTGAGCAAATAAGTGATTCGAACATACCGTGAAATATAGATGTTAGATCACTTTCACTTATGAACTGCTGTCTTCGGCGACGTTTCATTCCTACCCCGGCCAAATGCTAACATTCTTCCCACCAAAACACCCCGAAACATTGTACATCATTGTGCAACTATACCTGTACCACATGCTGCTTTGGACTGCGCAGCAAGACCCGCGCTGCCTGACCGCTGCATCTCCAGCCGGCGCGGCGCGACACCAGCGGCCACCTGCACACACAGGTCAGTGATGCCAATGTTGGCCCCGGAACGACCTGAACAACCAGGACTTGCAACATGCACAGTGACCCCTCCCGCATACTTTCTTCAAGTGATCCTGCCCTAAGAGGCGAACTTTGAGCCACGTCGTGACGGCAAGGAACCGTCTGTGCATCGGCTGACAGTGCCATGGGGATGTGACGTGGTACGTGCAGATCCGAATCGCAACTGACACGCAAACTCCCAAGTTTGAGTGTACCCTGAATATAGCTTGGCTTTTTGCCCAAAAAACATGCCCAAACAGACTTGAATAGAGCTTGGCATTCATTCAACAGCCTCTGAAAAGCAAAGTCTCACTTTCAACCTACCCATGCGGAGGAATATTCCCTGTAAGGACCAGAAAAAAAAACTCACTCATTCCAACGGCACGATCGACCCGGTCCCCGCTGGGTCGTCTCGACCTCCACGAGTGAGGGTTAGGCATGAACCAAAGTGCCTTCAGTGACATTTACGGAATAAACATCATGTATTTATGGACTACGAAGCCGCGGTTTCTTAAGGCCTCAAGAAGTCCTGAGGGCGACGTTTTCGTAGCGATCAAGTCCTGACGTCCCCGTCTGATTTTGATGTTTGGAAGTGACATATGATGTATACAGTATACTGTATGCATACATATACAGTACACACCAACGTGGCACAACGTGGCATTCTCCGGGCTCGTTGGTTTCAGAGTGCATGATGCTTTCCTGTTCTACTGTTAAAACTGCAAAACTCATAGCCTCTCAAAAGACGTTCAACAAATTAGATGCAAATGCACGTCTTCATCATGTCCAGAAGGAACTCACAGAGATGTTGACGAAGGAACTTTGGCTCAACAGGGGTCCATGATCTCTTCTCCAAAGTGGGTCTGGGTCAAAAAGCTGTGACCCAACAAACCCATGGCAACTGTGAGCAGTGATTGGGAGAGCTGCAGCTTGCTCAAATCTGGTTGGTGCTTCAAGTCAATCCAAATCTTCGCCAATGACCATCAATTGAGATCACCAGTCCAATGGAGTGTGATGGCCAAAAAAGTCCCCCCAAAAACATATACACCATCATACTCATCAGCCAGGCTTACAATCTGTACATCTGGTTGAATCAGCCCCTTCACCACTTGGTCAAACCATCACAGGCCTATGGCCTTCCATGGACGGTTTTTTCACGCCTCGCCCTTGACTCACCGGACACGGCCGAAATTCGATGCCACGGCCTTAGACCGCATAGACCAATGTTGTTCCATGTCGATTCTTCTTCTCAAATGAACCGTGCAAACCAAAAACGATATGATTAAACTCACCCCATACATGTCGTATAACTTCTTACGACGCTCCTGCTTACCATTGGGACCATTGATGTGTTTCCCGGTTTTGCCACAAAGCACACGTCCGTATGTTGGTTCGACT